AGATAATAACAGCGACGATGAATAACTTTTTGTTCGTAGTATCGCTGCGGTCGCGCACTGCTTACCGATTAGTCGCGTCCGCGAAGTTCTCTTGTCCACTTGAGAACGATCTTCCTATCTGCTTCTAACTGGAGCGACAAATACTCTCGTTTGCGCGAAACAAATCGCAGCTTTCCTAATTCTTCTCTAAAGGAGAAGAAGAAACGACAGTTTTCACGTGCGCCCCGAAGAAAAAGAAAGAGAAAAACCGGCGCGAAGTATGAACGTTCACTGGTGAAATCGTCGAGTTAGAGGAGAGAAAAGTGGACCAAAATGGCGGACAGTTCGAAGTCGGCTTCGTTGAGGAAATTATGGAATAACTTTTTCGCGTTCACGTCGTTCCCCTTGTATTTTCGGGACAGAAGAGCAGCGGTAAGGAGGAAGTGACTTGCGCGGATAACTTTCTCTCTCGGCTGAGAGTTTCAGAGATACATATAATACGTTCCCGTTGCCCCGGGGACTCGTTATTAACTACTTTCATTCGTTGCGTCATTTCCATTTACGATCACACCAGGTGTATTTAGATAACCGCGCGTGTTTCGCGGGAACATCGATTTCTTATCTCTTCTCCCTTTTCCCCGTTTTTTTTTTTTTTTTTTTTTTTCAAGAGGAAGATCGTTCTCTTATCAGTTCGGTTGATAAATCTTTGTAATAAGGCTAATGTAATGTTTAACCTGTTAATTGAGGGGAAATAATTGGTTCGATAAACGATGATATTTGTGTTAAATAAATGCTGGAGGTGAAATGATCGATTAACGTTCTCTGTCACGTTGTCGTTTAGTGACGGTAATTGTTTGAAATGCGATGGCAATCTGAACAATCGGTGGAAAATTGAGATCCAAAAGAGGAAGTATTCAACTTTGAATGATTGGTATAATAAGTATGTCAATTTGGAGAAGAAATGTTGCTTGAATCGTGTAACACTTTCTGTACGAATATATCGGGTGTCTCGATAGTTATGAACGCCAGTGTATATGAGTGACAGCGATTTTTTTTTTTGAGCCGCGTTGCTCATATGTACGACGCTCGTACTTTCTGTGTCGTAGAATTGTTCTTTATCGTAGATGATATAATTAGCTTGGATAATGCACTCGTTGCTTTGTATTTGCCGTTAGTAAGACTGTTTATTCCGTGAAAATAACAAGTGTAGCTTTTATTCTAATACACAGGGTGTCTGTTTTATCTCAGTACAGCGAAATATGTTTTAAGGAAGCGATGTTAGGGAAAAAATGTTTTAACAAAAGTTGTTTGATACGAAGGGGGACATCATGTGGTATAAATATTTTCTTTGCACCGGGTATTTTATACACAGTATGATAGCGTATGTTAAGACGAGTTCAACGAGGTGCGAACATAGTCATTTCCTTTCATGGAAGGTCGTGAAATTGCGAAAAACCGGGAGCCGGTGCACCATACGTTCCCCACTGTCGCGTGTGTCGGTTTTATCAAAGGAAATGACTGTGTTCGCACCTCGTTGGATTCGTCTTAACATACACTATCGTATTATGTAAAAAAGAATTAAACTGACTTCGAAATCTCCCCCACCATACCCGGTACGAAAGAAATATTCATACCACATAACTTTCCCCCTCGTACCAAACAACTTTTGTTAAAACATTTTTTTCCTAACATCACTTCTCACTACTCTAGGTCAGGATTCAGAAAAAAGGACTGCAACCTGACTGATTGTGAATTTAAAAAAACGGAAGAGAAAATATGTCACTGGAGAAAACGAATGGCCCTTTAAACCCAAGTCACTCACCTTTCAAAACATGCTAAATAAAAAGATAACAATTATTACAACTGTTCCGTGTAATGCTAATTATAAATTGATAAAAATACAGAAAGAGAAGGGTTATTACGCATTCATAATGAAAATGTCGTTCAAGCAAATGAACGGCCCTTTAAACCCAAGTCACACTCACCTTTCAAAGCAAGCTAAATGAACTGAAGAAGACCAAAATTGTCGTAGAAAGCGACGAAAAAGTGATGGAAACAAAAGAAAAATGTGCTTAGGTCACTCTAAAAATTTGCTTAAGGCAGAGAACCTGTTAATAGATTCGATTTTTACCAGAGAAACGAACCCGGTTAACAGGCTAAACAGAATTTCACCTGAGTCGTATCTTAGCTGCAGCACTAATTTCCGGTTTTCCTCGATTTGCAGAACCACTTCATGAGCTACGAGAAGCAGGAGAGAAGCGACGAGGAGAACCAGGTAAAGGTGAGTCCCTTTAAACCCAGGAATCTCCATCGGTCTCTCCAT